CTAGTAGTGTTATTATTATCCTTTATGTACTTTTGATCATTTCATTTGACCCTTCAGTGATCTGAGAAAGGATCCGTGGGCTCTAGGATAGAGTGAAGGAATGTGAATGGTGGGCAGCAAGACTAGAGAGAGGCTACAAGGATAGGAAACTCTAAGACCTAGGTCTGCAGAAAGTTAGCTTAGAGGGGAGATGCCAATCCCAGGGCCCAGCAAGTGATTTTACCCAAAGTAGCCCATGTGTGCTGCTATCATCTTTCTGAACTTATGATAGCCCATCTTCTGGCATCACAGGTCAGCAAAATGATGGCATGCAGCCAGGTTCTCAGGCAGATGGCATGTTGTGTCTTCCACACCACCTTTTAAGTCCAGAACCACTATATTCAACACCACCCTAATGGGGTGAATGCCTGGACAGTTGAAACAAATATTTTTTGCCGTATAATTCATTGTGATCTCTTATTTGTGGGCCTTTGTGTGTCCTGGTTTGAATATCTATCTCTTTTGGGGCTGGCAAATGCTGGATCATCCTTTAAAGCCCAGTTCAGAAGTTATTTTATTCCGAGAGTATTTACTGATTTGGGGTGATGGCTTTTTCCCTACGCTGTGATTTTTTCCCTACGCTTTCCATCACAGTGCTTAGTCTAGTGGGGAATTGCTATGAAATATTGTGAATGTAGGGAGAGTGAGAATAATTCAGAATAAAGTAGAAACACAAAGCATCTTGTCTGGGAGGACCAGAGCCTCCCCAGGTGTGACTTTTCAGGTGAGAACTTGGGGGTGATCAGGAGCCATACAGGAGAAGGCAGAGAGAGAAGGAACACACTAGACCTACATGAAGTTCCTGAGATGTATTAGGACTTGATGTGTGAAGGATGTGACTGATGCAATGTGACTGAGAGGCAGGCATTGTGGCACCGGGAGTCTGAGCAGTGAGCAGGACTATATCACACATGACTTTGAAGGACAGGGCTACAGTTTGGATTTTAGTCTGTGTGCAGCAGGATTTCATGGAAGAATATTAAACAGGAAAGTGATACAATCTTGTTGACAATTTAAAGGGGTCTATGTGAAATGGTCCAGGTGAGAGATCATGATGGAGGCTTTGACTAGGGTGCAGGTAGCAGAAGTGGGGCAAAGGGGTCTAACATAGGATTGAAGTTGGAGGTTGCGCTTACATGATTTTCAGATATTCCAGATGTGGTGATGGAAGAGAGGTGTCAAGAATACCTCCTAGGTTTTTGGCCTGAGCATCTGGGTGAATAACACTTCTATTGATTGAGAAATGAATGACCAAGGGAAGAATTGTGGGAATTGAGGAATCAAGAGTTCTGCTTTGAACGTGGCAACAGATTTGATTAGAGTTGTCGATTTGGCAGTCTTCAGCACAGATGAGGCGTGGCGGTTTTCATGCACGTCTGCAAAGTCTCTGACTCTCTGTGTCCCTCCTGTCAACTCTGCCCTGGCATAGGTATGCTGCATGACTTCCCAGGCTGACAGTAAAAGCCAAGCGGTTTTCATCTGGCCCTCTTGGAATGCTTGTTCGTCCCTCTGGAGATGTTCCTTATGAGAATGCAGAAGCCATGCTGTGAGAAGCTACAAGAAAAGGCTGTGGTTTCAAAAGTCTCGCCTGATCTTTCCTTCAACCCTCACTGACAAATGAGTGAAGACCTCCGCTCAAGAATCTGGCACCCAGAGTCTCCTTCATCTTCTCCGACTGGGACCCCACTTTTGCCCTGATGAACAGGACTGGGCTAGGCAACTAAGATGCCTGCATCTTGCCACAGAATCCCCTGCCAATTGGAGCCAGGAAGGTGGCTTCTCTTCCCCTATCACCCTCCGCTTGCTTGAGTCTTCCTATCTGAGGCTCCAGGCATCATGGATCAGAGACAAGCCCTCCCTGTTGTGCCCTGTCCACATTCCTGACCTAGGGGTATAATAAAAGCAGGTGTTTTGCTTTGGGGTGCTTTGTTACACAACAAAAGATAATAGGAATATGTGGTAACTGAAGCCAACAGGACAGATGAGATCACTCAGCAAGGGGGTGGCGAGTAAAAAGAGAACAGGGAAAGTACTGGAGGAAGCCCCAGACTTTAAAGGATGGGACAAGTTGAATAGGAAAAGCACGAGAAACAGAAACATGGAAGGCAAAAAAAGCAGGGCTGCCAGGGACTGTGGTGTCATGGAAACCAGAAAGACACAGTTTCAAGAATAAAGTAGTTGTCAACAGTGTCAAATGCTACTGACAGGTCAAGTAAGAAAACTGGAAAATGCCTTGAGGGTTTGGTAACGAGGGCAGTGGTGATTCAGCAAGAGTAGCTTCACTGCCAGCAGATAACAAAATCAGAATTCTTTGAGAAGAGAGAAGCAGAGATGAGGAACAGAGGACAAGCTGGACTTAGACGGAAGGAAGGCCACTTTTCCCTGTGACAGCAGAGAAGGAAGGGGTAATGTGTCTAAGTAGATCCCAGGAAGATATCTGTCTATCTGACCATGAGAAGACTAGGGAGTTTCCTTCTAAGGATTTTTGTTCTCCCCCTGAATGGGGCCTTTGGAGGAAAAAACATGTGGGGAGGTCTGTTTTGTTTTTGCCCTGTGCTCTCGGCTGGCTGAGGACCCCCTACCTGGCACCAGCACCCCATTAATCTCCCTGACTCAGGAACCCGCTTTTCCCACACTGGGGCTGGAGCTGGGTCACTAATAATCCTGCGTCTGCTCGCAGGAGACCCTGCCACGTGGGGTTCAGGGCAAGGTTTTGGGGGAGAGATGGGAGTGGGGAGGCGGGGAAAATCACTGTTACCTGTGGACGTTTGACCCTGTCTTTTCAGGTTTAGGTTCCATTGTCCATCCTTCATGTTGAAACAAATTATTTTGAAGTTGCCAACCCATCTGAGTTGTGTCACAGGGAACCAAAGCATGGGATTTGAGTTCCTCGGATGGGTGGCAGAAGGGCGGGATGTGTTGACAGTTGGAGGCAGCTGCTGGAAAGGGTGCGTCCCTATGATATCAAATTGTTGGAGCCGAGGCAGAAGGAAGGCAGAACAGATCTAGATTGTCCCTGCCATTGCGACAACATGCATGGAACTGGAGGACATTATGCTAAGTGAAATACACCGGGCACGCACAGACAAACACTGCATGATCTCACTTATATGTGCAATCTGAAAACAAATAACAAACAAAACCCCCAAAGCTCGAATACATAGGTTTGACTGTAGTAATTTCACTATGTATATGTTTATCGAAACATCATGTTGAACACTTCAAATATATTCAATTTAACGATAGAAAAGAGAAGACAGGAAGCCCCAGAAGGCAGCTTTCACACCCACAAGACAGGCACTTTTGGCCTCATTCCAGCAGAGGGACACGTGATGAATGTTCTCAGGCTAAAGGGAACTTGGGTCATTAGAAGCTGTTAAAGCTGAAGAGGACAGATCCCTGCCTCCAAATCCAAAGCCCCTTTGACAGAATTCCCCGCAGTTGTTTCCTTACTCATGTTTTTCCCATCCTTGTACTTTTTCCTTCCTATTATTTTCATCTCCTGCTGGACCTCTTGCAAGAATTGAGTTCCAGAGGTCCTCCTTCCCACACCCAAGCTGAGGAGCCCTTTGAAGGGTGTCATCACACAGAAGCATTCTGGTTGGTGTCAGTGGCCTTTGCTGGAGGCCCTCAGAGGGGTCTGGCTCTCAGTCATACCTTCTTCTTCTGCCTTTAATACTCCAGCACAAGGAACCAATAGATCATTAATGAACCCCCAGATTTTAAAAAACCGATAGGAGCAAACCATGATTTCATTAGGAGAAAGGTTTTTAAAGTGGCTTACATCAGAGCACATTTATTAATTCTGCTTTAGAAGGTATTTCTTTGTTTCCGTTCATCCCCACTAATCATGGTTTGGCTGCTGTTCTCTCCAACACTGCCCTGAAGAAGCCTCCCTCGTGTAGCTGTGGTCTAGATAAGCATTTATTTATTCAATAAATGTTTACTGAATGCCTACTCTGTGCTAGACACTCTTCCAGCAGCCTCAGGACTGGTATCCTCAAGGAACTGCTGGGGGTTCCCATGCTCTAAAAACCATAAATACTCAAGTCCAAGGACACTAGTCCCAACCAACGGCAGGGTTTCAAATATTAGTGGAGTTCAGCAACAAAAGTGCTGATGGGCACAGCTTGGGCTTTGCCCCTAAAAATAGAGGAATTGTTTTCAGCTGCAAAGTTGCAAAGTTGCTTCCAAAGGTTTTGAAAGAAACAACAACACTTAAATACTGGTATCAGGCAATTTTACAAAGATGGCTGCCACCCGTGCTTCGCATGGTTGTTTTGGGGGTGCGATTGAGCTGGTAAGGGACTGTGGGACTGTTGCAGAAGTCGGCATCCATCAGATGATCACAGGCCTGGGACAGGCAGCAAGGATCAGATGGTCCAAGTTCCTGTTTTTATTTTGGACAAGAAAACTTTTTATATGATTTGAAGTGCTCTCTCCTAGAGATTTTCCCATCCCTTAGGATCCAAGTGATTTCATTTAGGAATATCTCATGAGATTATCTCCCAGATTTCTCCTACCTCTGCAAGAAATAAGGGTCATTATCTATTTCCCAACACATGGCTCAACCAATGAGGCACTCACTCTCACTCTGCGTAATGCCTATTGCCTAAGGAAACTATTGCCTAGAGGAAGTGATAATTGATGGAAAAGATATAGCCTTTAGAAATGCAATGGAAACATCTCTCTCTGTTTCCTGGAAGTGGGGGAATTTAGCATGGGAAGCAACACAGCTGTTCGCTTCTCTTTCATATTAGGTGATGAGATCCCTGAGTGAACCAAAGTTCTGTTTTTGATCACTGTAATACATCTCTTGCTCTGTGGATACCATGCTCTCAGCTTATTCTAATGGCGTTAAGAAGTGGAAAATAAAGGTGTCATGAGAGTGAGGGTGAAAGTCAAGAACATAGTACTGTCTGTGTGAGGTAGAGTGACCAAAGAACGTTCGCCAGCACACGTACAATTAGAAAGGGTTTAATAAACAGCCGCTAAACATTGCACCAAAGCATTTGGAAACACAATTTCTACAAAGAGGCAAAGGTCAGGCTTCCACTCGAAATTCCTTAAGACAATCAGTTACAGCCCCGCCCTCCCACCCCCCATAACCCCATATAGCCACAAGACTACACTCTTCTAGTCATGAATTTACCTACAGACACGGTCTTAGGGATAATGGGACTGGCATGCGTTATCCCAGCAATGGCAAGGAAGCAGGGGTTGGGAAAAGAATGAGTGGAAAGGCAACCAGTAGCTAATGATACACCCCTTAGGAGCTTTGTTCAGGGGGTGGGTAGGGGGAATCCGCTTGTGGTGCCATCTGTGGATTTACCTTGGGCTTCTAGGATACTCAGGACTAGTGTAGGTATTCAGATCCAAAGTGGCCGGGGCTGCCATCTTAAACAGTCTCATTCCCTTGAGCCGAGACTATTAAAAGTGGTCTTCTCGGGTGACACATTGTGACTTTCTAAAAACCTTTTTGATGTCCAACCAAACTGCACTTACGACTCAGAAGGCCCATTGAGGTTGTGCTAATTTTGAGGTCAGGGTAGACCTGGTTTCTCAGTCCTTTCTTCATTTTGGCCTTTGGAAAGGAGTGCATGGTGGCTCTTTATTAAAGACACTTGTGAGGCGCCTAGGCAAATCATTCAAACTTCTGGGACTCAGTTGATCTACCTTATAAAAATTTCATATTTACGTCTGTCTCTTTTACTTACATTAAGAACAAATAAGATCAAGTGGTCTCTAAATAATATATTATAAAACTGGTAATAAAGTTAATGATATAGTTGACTCAAAAATTGGCTAGAGATATTTATATGAATCTCCAATTCACCCCTCACAGAATTGGCATCAACAGAAGACCAGAGGTTCCTGGCATGGTGAGAACAAAGTGCCTGAGCCTAAGCAAAGACGTGGAGTATGTCAGGTATGGAAGGAAGAATTTGGCTGTCATCTGCCAGTGGCCCTGTCTTTTGAGCTGGACTTCAATCTTCAACTACCTTCCACTCAAACCTCTTGCCAGATCCAGTATTTGACCAGTTGCCTTGGCAGAGAGGTGACTTTTCTAACTCTCCCATCTTTTAAAAATTCGTGTGCAGGCATTTGATCTAGATCTTTTTTGCTTCTGTTTGTACCTTTTTATTTTAAATTAAAAATACTTGATTCTTTTTTTCCTGAAGAATTTTTGCAGGTGGCAATGAGTCCAAACTAAGCAGTGCCCAGCTGGCTACAAGGGAGTCAAGGCATTGAGGGAAGTGGACTTTACTGGGGGAGAACTATACCAAGGAGGTTACTATTTTCCAAGGGACTGGACATGGCAGGGAACTGGCTCTCTTGGTGCCAGCCTAGCCCAGCTAGTTCTATTTGATTTGGCCGTACGTGGTAGAGAGTGGTGAGCCTCAGTTGTTACCACTAAACTCCAAGCCAAGAAAGTGGTGAAGGGCCATATTCAGAGGTTAGAACTGCCTCCCATTTTTGCTATCGGTACTTACGCCTAGAAGGCCCTACTGAGCAGAAGGGGAGGTGGCAAAAAGGACCACATGGGATAGCCCAACCTGGCTCCCTTGCAAGTCAGAATGATCGGGTCTGGACCAGTCAGGAATTCTCCTCATTCTTGATCTCCCAAACAGTCATGGCTTCCACTCTAGGGAGTCAAATCTCTTGTTGTTCTTTCTGCATTGGGCAGAGTGCAATAAAATACATGCAGTGCCCTCAGCTGAGGGAGACTGGCAGACTAGGATGAGTAATTGGACAAATGGCAGTGTTTGGCTTTGATGGGGGTATACTCAGCAATGTTAGAGGAACAAATAACTCTTCTGTGGTTATTTTTTCATTGAGATTCATAAATATGAATTGAGATTCACAGCTTGGTAGAGGGTTAAAAAGAATCCTGAAACACATGAGGGGGAGCCCCGGGGTTTGGGTGCCTGGATGCTTCATGGGGTATACAGTGCTCTGGTTGCTGTGCCACCACCACTATCTACTGTTTGCGGATCATGCCCTTGATAGCTGACTCCCGGTTGACATATGTGGCCCAATAGACCAGATTGAAGATGGCAAAGAGCACAGGAAAGATAATGCGGGAAATTTTGTCAACCTTGCTGACACTGTTGTAGGTCTTGGTCTCAGTTGGGCTATCCTGCACGTAGGTCGCCTTGGGCGAGGCAATGATTGTCGGAGTTGAGGAGGCACTGGTAGCAGCGCCCTTGGAGATGGTGGAGAACTCGGTGTCCTTGGCCAGATTGATGGGGTAGGTGGTACCCACGATGTTGAAGGTGGTGCTGGTTTTCTTTGCTGGGGCTGCTGGTGTTTTCTTCTAGAGTCCAGGAAAAAGGGGAGAAGGGGAGAAAAAAGTAAAGCTAATTAATTCATTACACAGACAATTTTTAGAGGCTGCATGGAGGAGGAGCCATGAGGGACGTTAAGAAACAAGGGCCATGAAGCCAATAGCACTAAGTAGCCAGGTTTGTGTCTAAGGATAACTAAAGATGAGTTTGAAAACAGAAAACTTGCATAATCCTGGCTTACTAGCTATGTGGCTTTGGCTAAGTCACTTTTCTTCTTTGAGCTTGTTTCTTCATCTGTAAAATGAGGATCAAAATAATTGGCAGGGTTGTTGAGAGGACCAGATGAGAGAATACTGGTAGAAATCACTGATAAACTGTGAAAATGTTGGTCACATGTGGGATCTTGTATTTCATGTGGTGTGATCGTCACAGCAACCCTATGAGGTAGGTGGGTGAGATTACTCCCATTTGACAGATGAGAAAATTCAGCCTCAGACTAAGTGGCAGAGCCCACACTTGCAATTGATTCCTGACTTTTATCCAGGGCTGCGCTGTGTTCCTTTCTATAGGCACAAGACACTTTTTGGTTACCCGAGAAATAACTCCAAAAGGCCGCGACCATCAAGTGGCACATCTCCTGTGAGGAAGAGAGCTCGGTGAGTCTGAAAAGTCATTTTGTCTTAAAGACATAATACATACCATGGCCTGTTTACATGCATCATTACAAAAGCATCCCACCCTTCATGCACTGTAACTGCATTTGCAAATTCTGGGGCACGTCAAGATTTTTCAGGCTTGCAACGCTGCAGGGAGGAGCCACAGCCTCCCCACAAAGCTAGGCAAGTGACCCCCTCTGACACAGCAAAGGAAGGGACAACTGGAGACTTGCTGTGGCGCTGCCTTTAAGGCTTGTTTTTCAGAGTAAAAGAAATCCAAGCACCCAGTGGGAAGCAAGCACTCACGTGTGCCTATTTGTTCTCACATAGATGCACTTGTATACTCATGGAGCCTCACTGGGGCTCCTTTGATGCAGAAGGGAGAAGAGGGAAAAATGCTTAGGCCAGGATCAGCAGAGAGAAGTTGAGGAACGGGCAGGTCGAGGGAGCAGGCCAGCCCCAGACCCAGGCCAAAGGCCTGCCTCATAGTCTGTATCATGGACAGCTTGCTGTCTCACTCCTCATTCTGACCTTTTCTTCCTTCCGTCCCTCTTTGGCTCTTGGGAAAATTGGGTGTAGAAGAGCTTGAGAAATGCCCTGATTTCACACACCGCATGTGCCCATTCGTGATGTTGCTTTGCTTCCTAGCACCTGGGCTTCACTTCTTGATTCCTCCACCTTCTACTTGTTTCTTTCCTGGACTCTTTATCCCCACCCTCTCTTGTGGACCCCTTTCTCATAATCTCTTGCTATTTCTTTTCTTCTTTACTTCAGAGTCTCTATCGTTTTTAATATTTTTCTCCTTTAGACCGCGGTGCTATTTACCTTTCTGATCCTAATAATAACTTTTGCCCAATATTTACTTAATGTCTATTGGGCCAAGAACTATGTTAGATACACAGGGATACGTGGAAAGGGTGAAACATGAGTGAGTTTCAGTCCTTGTCTTCTGGGAGCTCACAGCCCAGAGTAGGAGAGAGCTTTGTGAGCACATCACCCTCAGAGAATGTGATCAGAACTTTCACAGATCTCAGTCAAGCACTGTGGGTACTAACTTGACAGAGGGACACGGCCCCTACAGGCGTTGGAAATAGTTGTGGTCTGAGTCACAAAGATGAGCAGGAGCTCATCAGAAAATATGCAGCAGAGGGGGCACAGCCCAAGGACACTGTTTTGTGAAAGGCGACAAGGAGTTTACCATAGCTGGGTCACAGTGTGTATGGCAAAGAGTTGCAGAAACTGAGGTTGTGTTTTCAGTCAGGAAAGTAACGTGTGGCAGGTGAGTGGCTGTTGGTTTAAGTAAATGAATAATTTGACTAATCGGACATTTTAAAAAGCAATATTGGTTCTTTCTCTTTGAGGATTACAGTCACATTGCTACATGTGGAAGGGGGACAGAACTAGAAGGCGTCTAAGAACCTTGTAAATGCTTTAAATACTACATGGGACTCATTTATAATTAGCAAATTCATTGTGTGAATAGAGTCCTGCTGCTAAATGCCTTTGCCATTAAATAAAAGAGTGCTTTACTTGCTTGCTTGTTTATTAATTTGCTTAGTAATCTCTTTTTTCATGGGTAGACAAGGAAGAAAAGAAAGAAAAGAATTAAAAAAAAGAAAAGAAAAAGAAAACAATACCCTGACTTTGCTAGAAGCTTTTACATATGTCATTTCATTTAGTCATCTTATAAGCTGGCTATGACCAAGTTTCTGAAATAATCGGTCTGAACAGTGAAGACCTCTTTTAGCTCCACAGGCACTTATGGTCTTTAGACAGGGAGAAGCAGCAATGGATTTAATCACAAATTTTTAAGCAATAAAGGAAAATTACCTTTTAATTTCTCTCACCATTTGCAACATGACACATTTAAATCAGCCACTATAATTTTTACCTAAATTGTCAAAGAAAGAAATCAAGGCAAAAGTTGTAGTGTCAAGAAGACAGGAGCAGAAGACAGAGATTAATGGTTAATATTTCCCCATTTCTGCATCGAGTTTTCTAATCATTCTTTTTGATAGTTACAGACTAGACTGATTTAACTTTGACCAAGTTCTCATTCTATTTCTACGTTCTTAGCCAAGCGTCTAGTTCTTAGGAACATGATGGATGCTAACTGAGTGAAAAAAAAAATCCACCCCTTGAAGATTCTCAATGTGATTTTCTGTTTTTTGGGGTTTTTTTCCTTGAATCTTGACCTCTGCTACAGAAAGAGCCTATCTCTGTAGTTCAGCCTGGCAATTTCCACACCAAATATCTGAAATGGACTCCTCCAAATTCCCCAAGTAATCAGACTCCAGGATAAGAACACCTTTCTTTCTAAGGAACCATTTCATGTGGGTTTTGGCATAAGGTAATCAAACTTTTATAGATAAATACATGCCCAACTTAAGAGTCTTCCTGTGATGGCAGTCCTGTCAACTGTTTCCAAAGGTGAAACCCAAGCAGGGTCTCAGAGTATATACTTACGTTATCCAGTGCCTCTGTGTCAACCCCCTTATAGGCACTCAGCTTTCCTGAGGCCTAGTTTCCAGAAGTGGGACAAAGCAATGGAGTATATGCTATGTGGGATTCAAAGATGAATAAAATCAACAACAAAAAACCAAACAGCCCAGTTAATGAATGGGCAAAGGAATTGAATAAACATTTCTCCAAAGAAGATATACAGATAGCCAACAAGCTAATAAAAAGATGTTCAACATTTCTAATCATTAAATGAAAATTAAAACCACAATGAAGCACCACCTCACACCCGTTAGAATGACTATTACTACTTTAAAAAACAAACAAAAATAAACCAGAAAATATCAAGTGTTAGCAAGTATGTGGAGAAATTGAAACCCATGAGCACTATTGGGAATGCAAAAATGGTGTAACCAGTTATGGAAAATGGTGTGGTGGATCCTCAAAAACTTACGAACATAATCACCATATGATCCAGCAGTTCCACTTCTAAGCATATGCCTCCCTCCCCAAATTAAAAGCAGAGTCTCAAAAAGATATTTGTACACCCATGTTCATAGGAGTATTATTCCCAATAGTCAAATGGTAGAAACAAACCAAATGATCATGGGGAGACTAATAACAAAAGATGGAGAATACACACAATGAAATATTCAAACCAAAAAATAAAATTCCGACACATTGACACACGCTACAACATGGGTGAAATTTGTGGACATTGTGCTAAATGAAATAAGTCAATCACAAAAGGATAAATGTTGTGTGATTTCGCTTCTATGGGGCTCATAGTATAGCAAATTGATAGAGGCAGAAAGTCAAATGGTGGTTGCCAGGAGTTGGGACGAGGGAAACAGGGAGTTGTTGTATAATAGGTATAGAGTTCTGGTTACACAACAAGGTGAACATGCTTAACAATACTAAACTGTACACTTAAAATGGTTAAGGTGATCAATTTTATGTTATATGTATTCATCAGGTTATAGGTATTTATGTATGTTATATATTTTTTACCACTGAAGGGTGTGTGTGTGTGTGTGTGTGTGTGTGTGTGTGTGTGTGTGTGTGTGTGTGTGTGTGGTGTGTGTGTGTGTGTGCGCGCGTGTGGTGTCTGTGTGTGTGTGATTAGCATATCAGTGACCCTGCTTTCAGGATAGATAGTTTAGTGAAGAATGTTAAATAAAATAAGACGAACTAACATATGAGGGAGAAAGCACAAATAAGAAACACTTAGGCGTAAATAATGAGTTAAGGAAATTCAACAGGAAGGAAACATGCTGGATTTGGCACAGTCAGGTAAGCCAACAGAGAGGGGAGAAAGTGCAGGCGGGAGAAAAGTGATCACTTGTACTAGCTTTCTGAAAGGGCGGGAGGTATCCAGAGCATAAGTGGGCAAATTTTCAGGCCCAGATCATAGATGAGAAGGAAAGAATGGATGCCGTTCAGATATCACTTATGTTTTGGTAGCGAGAAAGGAGCCTAGAATGTTGAGGCAAACCTCATACAATAGCTTCTACGTTCCCCATGAAGAAGGCGAAAGAAATAGTCAAGATTTAAAATAGATTTTGCAGGACGTAGAATTGATTTAGGGGCACAGAGAAGGACTGCAGGGACAGGTAAAAGGACCAGCAGAATCCAAGAGCACATACTCCTAAATGCCACCAATCTACCAGTAACTGTGGATTTTTTTTTCCAGAAAGAAATACAGGACTCGAAATGAAGTGACTAGGGAGTATGCTGGTGAGTGACTATAGTGATACACCGTGGGGCCTATACAAGGTAGAGAAACAAAGAAAACAAAGGGAATCATTTATTTATTCAATATTTCCTGAGTGTTTACTATGTGACAGGTTCTGTGCTAGGTGCTGGGAGTGTAGCAGGGAATGGTCAAACATGGCCCCTGCCCTCAGTTTATG